CGATGTAAAGGTTCCAATACCTTTACCAAACATTTTGCTGTAGAATTCTAGGGAGACTAATGCATATCTAGTATAGGATGTAATATTGATTAATTTGTGATGTTCTTGACCGACTGACTAACTGACTGATTTCAACATAGAACTTTCCATCGATATGCACCAGTTCGAGTCGCCACTCTCCCTCCACGTATCACACAAACCAAGAAAAGAAAGTAGAAGAAATGCAAAATCGAGACAGTAAACAGATATATGAGGCAACAAGAATAGTAATACCGAAGAACAATATAGTTTCATTGGTGGCACAGTGGTCAGGACTCTCGCTGACCATGCGCATGGTCCGAGGTTCGATCCCCTGATATCTATGGTCGGCCAGCAAAATTTGGGCTACCGATATCCCATGCTGAAAATTCCATACTTGTACCAAAAATACAGTGTAGAATCAAGCTGTGATAAAAAAGAGTCACTAGGAGTGGATGCAAATCCACCAGCCATTGAGAACAAAGATTTTGAGCCATATCACCGATAATTGTCTCCAGCCGTTGGTATTTACCGTCCCGAGGACCGCGATCTTCCTATGTATCTGTCTGGCTTTAACTAACTGTTGTGGATTTCATTGATTGATATTGTGCTTCGGTTGGACCACCGTTGGCTCTTTTCCAGCCTGACCCTATGTCAGCTAACATTGCCCATCCGGTCGAGGAAGGCGATGACTAGGTTAGGCATGCGTGAGCAACACATGTCCTAACTATCTGAGTCGATGTAGCCTCACATCCTCGTCTATTGATTTCCCCTTTCACTTAACTAGCACTCGTCCGATGGTTAACCTCAATATTGTTTACTCTATTGTACCACTCGCCACAGTCACACTGTCTCCTGTTTGAATCTATACTTTCTTCGTACTAACCCATCGCCCACATGTGTGAACGAATCAAGCGCATTTCCGTTCCTCACCTTGTGTGTGAATCTGTTTATGACATTTAACAACCATCATTTAGGATTTGAAATTACTTTGTATCTGTATTCATCTCTCCACTTTGGTTGCACAAGCATTATTTTAAATCACTGTGTAACTTTTATCTCTTATCCTGATTGAGGGGTGCATCCACTACAGTTTCGATGGCTATAGTATAGTAATTGTTTCAAACAACTAGTCCCTTTAATAAATTTTGATAATGTCATTAGAAGGCGGAGAGTTTCTGAAAAATGTGATGTATTTGCCTGATACATTTCGAACAATCTGATCACATACTGGCAGGCTTATAATTATTGAAAAGGCCAATAATACATGTTTTATTTACCACACAAGCTCCAACCTTGCACAAATCATTATATTCCATCCCGTGGTATGTTCCAGTTTACATGTGTGTGTGTGTGTGTGGTCACACATTATTAGGGAGGAGTAATCGCGTTTCACACGTGAGGTTAGAAGAATATATAGCATTGATCGCTAACTGACGTCGGTTAGAGGACTATTGGAAAACCAACTGGTAGGAGTACTGGACAGCTGTTTCGTTAGCCTAGTTTGAAAATCTTCAGTAGTAGGGTTCAAATTCAGGTCATCCTGGTTACAAGGTGATGAGCTCGTAAACCATTCAGCAACTGGGAACCGATATCAATGGTTCCTTAATTCCGAATTCTACCATTTCGTGATGTATATCAGCCAGGACCACAGACGAGTAAAACTGTCTTCCTGCCTCAGATTTGCAGGGGTTTGATTCGTTACAGGGTTGGTGGTGAGCGGACATCAGAAGAACACACACGCACACACAAATAAATTGAGAAACCTCAATAAACACAGATGGCACACTATCAGTTTCATCCGTAGCAAAATATTCATTTGCTATGAATCATTATGAATACTATGTTCGTTAACCGATGCGTGAGAATATCAGTAGAATGGATTGACAATTCAAAGATTGTTTCCTTCTTCACCGACGATGAACCAGAATAGCAGGATTACAAATCACAGGGTCTATGAATAAATACCGACATAAATCACAAATAATAATAATAATAATAGTTCTGATCGTTTTTCTCCAGTCTTCTGCCAACCAGTATACGATTAGGCAACCGCTGTCTAATTGTTCTTTCCCGCCAAAAGTGGAGATCTGTGTCCGAACAAACAAACTATATGTCGCTCATTCAATGTTCGCTAACATTGATAACCTCACATCTTTCAAGTAATAATGATAAACATAAATTACATAAGGAACTGTGCGTCGGTGGCACAGCGGTTAGGACGTTCGCCGACAGGCAACACTAGGCAACTCTTAAGACTCATCAGGGAAACTTGTGGGAGAAGGCAAATCATAAGTGAAACAATCTCGGAGAAAAATGGCAGCATTATTAGCTCTTAGGATAGACGACTGGATCGCTGGAAAGAGCACTATGAGAAGCAGTTTAATTGGCCCATAGCCATGCTCAACCTGCCGAACATCCAACACCTCCCTGAATGGGATATAGACACAGGTCCTCCATCCTCAACTGAGGTTACTGAAGCGGTCACCAATCTGAAACAAGGCAAAGCAGTGGGACCTGATGGAATGACTCCAGAGGTATTTAAGTACGGTGGAGACAGTTTACTGTCTGCATTAACTGAGGTACTAGGCAGCGTCTGGGAATCAGAAGAAGTCCCATCGGGTTGGTGTAAGTCACTGATTATCCCCATATACAAGAAGGGAGATAAGCCTTCCTGTGATAATCACAGAGGGATTAGCTTGACTAATATAGTATCTAACTACTATTTTAGTCAAGCTAATGCACACGAAACCTCTCTATTACTCACTCATCTTTGTCTTCATCTTCATCTCTATCATCTTGCCTTCCTCCCACTGATGCAACTCCTCTGCTTGATAGCTCTTCACTTCCTCCCCACTTTGCGTCCACTAAAAACGATGGAAGCCAAAAAGCCACCACTGAAAGTCTCCTAAAGCCACGCCACCAATTTCATATAGGAGCATTTAATGTTAGGACACTTTGCCAAATAGGACAACAAGCATCACTAGCCAAGACCCTGGCATCCCGAGCCATTGATGTATGCTGTGTTTCAGAAAATCGCATACAAGACAAGTCTTCCTGTGATAATCACAGAGGGATCAGCTTGACTAATATAGTATGTAAAGTCCTAGGCTCAATAATCATGCGTAGACTAAGTGGTGCTCGGGAAGAACAAACACGAGAGAGTCAGGCAGGCTTTAGACCAGGAAGAGGGTGTATTGATCATATCTTCACCCTCCGACAGATTCTAGAACATAGGAATTCCTACCGGCGTCCAACAGTCATTATATTTCTTGACCTAAAGGCAGCATTCGATTCTGTCGACCGAGAAGGTCTCTGGAGATGCTTGGCTGTAAAGGGAATGCTGAGAAAATACATTGCACTGATTAAGACACTCTACTCGAGCTCATTAAGCCAGCCAGGTGAGGGCTTACGGCGAGTTGTCATCTGAACTGATGACGACCAGCTGTGTCCGTCAAGGATGCCCATTATCCCCTTTTCTATTCAACTTCATCATAGATGTACTGATGGACTTAACCCTAACTCACTTCAGAGACTCAGGGATTGACTTACCGCCATCAGGGAATAATCTCGTTGACTTAGAATATGCAGACGATATAGTCCTTCTAGGCGAGGACGCTGACAAAATAGAGCAGAATCCTTTAAACACCTTGAGCTGCAATCTACGAATGTTTGGCATGCGATTCGCTCCCGCCAAATGCAAGATGATGTTACAGGGCTGGACTACAGCGACTCCTAGTTTAAAAATAGAGAGTGAAGTGGTAGAGCACGTTGACCGCTTCACTTATCTGGGAAGTACCATCAGCCAACGCCAACGGGTTGATCTCTGACGAAATCTCAGCACGAATACAGGGGGCTCGTTTCGCATTTGTCAGTTTACGCCGACTCTGGCGTAGACGAGATGTTCGACTATCGACCAAAGGGCGGGTGTACTGCTCATCAGTCCGCTCCGTCCTCCTTTATGGCTGGCTGTGAGACCTGTCCACTGGGAGTGGAAGACATGAAAAGACTAGCTGTCTTTGATCATAGGTGCCTGCGCTCTATATCCCGTGTGAAGTGGCATAATAAGGTGAGCAATACTGAGGTTAGGCGTCTGTTGAGTTCTAGGTAAGGAGAGGAAATCAATCGACGAAGTCCTGAAGCTACAGAGACTGAGATGGTTAGGACATGTGTTACGTATGCCTAGTCATCGCCTTCCTCGACCGATTGGCAATGTTAGTGGATATAGGGTCAGGCTGGAAAAAAGCTAGTGGAGGTCAAACAAAAACTTGGCACCAGTCAATGAAATCTACAACAGTTAGTTTAAGCCAGCCACGTAGGAAGGTGTAGACTTCCTGACTGGTTGAAGTCCTCGGGACGGTAAAAACCAATGGTTGGAAACAATTGGTGACATGGCTCAAATCGTTCTCAATGGTGTGTGCAGATGGACCCACTCCTTGTGACTTATGATCTCCAATGAAACTATGTTGTTCTCCGTTATTAATCTTCGTTTGTCTCACACCTCTGATTACTCTCCCTATTATGCCTTTTTTTGTAGTTTCTTGTCTTTCTTTGTGTGCTACATGGAGGGTGTGTGGCGACTTGAACTGCCGCACATATGTGCAAAGTTCTATGTCGAGAACAGACAGATGCAGACAGACAGTTCTCCGACAATGCACATGGTCCGGGGTTCGAATCCCGACCGACACACTCCTCTACCTCGCTAAGCCAGAAATAATACTGGTAAAGAAGAAAGGTTTGGCCTGAGGCTAGCCAGTGCATTCTGTAAAATAAAAAACTACAATCCACTAGATTGAGTTCCGATATTACACTGGGGAACGTGAAGGAAAAAAAGACATAAGAAACTAAAGGTGGGAGGAGTAGGAAATTATTAAAATAAAGAGTATTTCATGTTCAAATAGACTCGCAAATCGGCCATTATTTTAATGTTTACTTATTTGTGTGTTTTTCTGTTTTATCGTCTTTTTTCTTTTACAATACAGAGTAGAACTCGACGTCATCTCTCCGAGTATAATCATGTTGAAGCAGAATGTCCATTTATTGATTTGAATGGTTTATTGGAGAGAATTGAAGATCTAGTTGTTGATGTTTGTGATCGTATTATGAAAGAAGCCGGTGATCTGTTGTTGGACGTTAATCCTGTGAGTTGGGGTGGGGTGGGGGGGTTGTTTTTTCTTCACTTTCGATTACTTTTGTTATTTGTTTCAGTGTAGATTTCATCGAGAACCAACCAGAGAGCTAGCTGTTCATATCCTTTTTTGTGGTACTTCAGCGGTCTGCAAAACATATCCACCCACCAGCAGCTGTCGAACCTTAGACACATCTAGGTTACGATGTCAAATTCGTTGACCATTTTTAGCCACGTGGACCGGGATTCAAGTTACCCGTGAATCGAAATCCCTCTACAACCCCTATAATCTCAACTGGTTTTTCTGTTTGTAAAGCCTATGCTACTCCACACTAATCGGTAGTATTAGTAGTATACTGTGTGTGTTTGTAAGGAGCTAGTTAAATACAAAATAGAAATAGTGTTACGTCATATGGTAATTAGGTGAAGTAAATCGACGTGAATTCCGAGATGTGTGATAGAATTATAGCATTTCAGTTTATATATATCAGTTTATATATATGCCCGACCAATTGTTGCCTTGATGTGCTGTTGGTCAGGATTTCATATCATACCGACTTAACGAGCTACATGAGCAGGAATTGATGTCCCTAAATATCCTAGTATACCAGAAGGACCCCCTTTGGGTATCGGTTAGACTAAAAGCAGTATAATTAGTTCGCACGATGTTGAGGTAGGGGGTCAGTGAGCAAAGTCGTCCTTTCAGCGAATAGGGATGTAACAGCTGTAAGTTGTGTCTAATTCAGATGACTAGCACGCCTTTCCACTGTACGCGTATGTAGGGGGAGGGTCAAAGATAAGATCTTAATACTGACAAAACTCCATTAAACCATTTCAAACAGTTGTCTCCTGGCCTTTGTTGTCAGGTTTTCAGGTACCTCAAGGAGAAATAGACTTCATTAGTGTGGGCAGTCGGGAGGTAATAACCGCCGACACACTTCCATCATTATGTCTTGATACTGATTTGATTGTAATTGGTCATCAAGAGGTTGTATGGTTTATTTCTCGTTGTTTTTATTTTTGAGCAGTCTTTCAATAAAGGCGATCTGCAGCTTCAGTGCTGTCTATGTTTTTTTTGTTTTGTAACATATATTTGTGCTATTTGATTGATGGTAGGCAGCGGTGGGATCTAGCACTCGTTAGCTGGGGACGTACCTGTATCCACAGTAAGTGATTGTGTGACCACTGATATGCGAATCGCAGTGCAAGAAAAGAAGACAAGGGCCAATCAACAGATCTTTTATTTAGGAAATCAACAGATATTTATAGATTTTCATGTACATTATTATAGATTACTGTAAGCAGAGAAACACAGTCTTATGATTGGTGGTGTCTCACTGAAAGTTAATCTTTCATCTGTTTGTGGTCGTTTCTTGAATGTGAGATCATCTATCTGCGAATTGTATCCGCCTACGGAAGTCTGCTATGCTCGGTTGTTGAATCAATCTGTGTTCTTATTTTTCACACGATCAATATTGGGGACGTTAACATTGACGTAAATTACTGTCTACCGACTTTGGTGAGCATCCAGCTCTCACCAGAGTAATAATAATAATAAAATTTGATTGTCTTCTTTTTCTTTTAGGAGTTTAAAGCACCTAAAAGTCCATTTAAACGCTTAAAATATGAAGATGCTATCGCTCAACTGAACAATTTAGGCATTATAAAAGAAGATTTAACACCTTTTCAATTTGGTGATGATATTCCTGAGGCTCCAGAACGTCGACTTGTTGATACTATTGGTGAACCAGTCCTGTTGACTAATTTCCCTGCTGGTCTAAAAGCATTCTACATGTCGCGAACTGAAGGTGATCGACGTCTTACTGATTCAGTAAGTTACTTTCTTTTTAATTTGACGAAATCTCGTACTGTCTGTTGCCTTTTATCTAATGTTCGTTGTACTGATCGGAGAACTATTGATATAAGTATAAAACTTGCTGAAGTTTTATACCTATATCAATAATACATATGGTCTTCCTACTAGGAAGCTTATCAACAAACTCACACGACTCTATCAAACAGAAGCAAGATTCACAAACCATCGGATTTTTAACCATCGAATTACTGTGAAACTAAATAATATACGAAATGAAATAGAAAAACTCAAACACAAATTCAAATATATGGTCAATGAAAAAGATTATGTAATCAGAGAAAACCACACAAGTCAAAAAATTCAACAAACTAATGAAAGAAAAGAACACAATAAATGAAGAGATTGACGTCAACGTTTCATTGTCTGTTGACAAAACAAAATGGGTGATCAACCTCTCATATCGCCAAGGGAACTAAGCTCTAGTGAGATAAAAGTACTTGAAAAAGGGACTAAATTTCAATGTAACAGTGAGTAAATTAAAACCAGAGGATGTCATTCCTAACATTGAAGTAGCACTAGGTTCAATAGATAAGACAACAGCAGAAGAGGTTAGAGCACAATGTGCATTAACCCTGAAAAATGAAAAAAAAGGCAAAATCAAACTTAACAAAATCGGAAAGAGAAGCTTTAATTAGTCTGAAACAGGATAAAAACGTTGTCATCACAAAAGCTGACAAAGGAAACGCCACCGTAGTTTTTAGATAAGTCTGATTATATCAAAAAAGTTATTGAACATATTCAAAGGGGTCCAAATAAGGAAATTAAGAAGCCTGTAGAGACAATAATGAATAAGGTTAAGAATGAAGTCGTCACTGGGTGAGTCGAAATGGTTTAATTTAATGCCTAAAACTTATGATGCTAGTAGAATGTATGGTACTATTAAAATACATAAGCCAGGTAACCCTATACGACCAATAGTAGATTTCAGAAACACCTGTGTTTATGAATTATCAAAAACACTTAGCTCTAATACTATGCTCCATTAGAAATCGTTCAAACTCTAGACCAACTGACTAATTCATATGAGATGAAAAATAAACTAAATGACATTAAACTAGAAAATGATGAAACAATGGTTAGTTTTGATATAACTAGTCTTTATATTAATAGACCAATCAATACACCCACCTTAGAACTAACTTCAGATCCTGAACTCACTCATAGGACAAAGCTGCCGATTGAAGAAATTATTTTATGAATTCAGTTATGATCGGAGAACCTTTAAGACCTTATAAATCAGAAGTTTTTTTCACCTAACCAGTTGCTGATACTCTTAGGCGTGATTGTGAAGAGACGGTAGTATGTACTTCTGTGCTTGCATTGAATACTCTTCTCTTTTAATTTCATTCTTTAAAAATTGTCTTATTTCTTCCACTGATGTTATCATCAATAGAACACTTCAATAGTTGTAAGAACAAGCAGGGACTTGTAGGTGTAGAGCCACTCAACAAAGCCATCGAAAAAGAGTATTCTTTGAAGTGAAATAGAGGAGGTTTGTAGCTTAGGCGGATGATCTGCAATTTATTGTGTTCTGTGAGTTGTTTACTTTAATTGTGGGTCCGAACCCTATTACCCACTCTTACATCAAGGTTTTGGGCAGCCAGGTATCACTACCCTTTCACACACACGCACACGCACACGGAATATAGGTGTTCAGCCCTTATCGCCTCGCCTGTATATTGCATTGAATTGCACTGCAAGTGGTTGTTTTGCCTCTTGTTTACGCATTTCACTGCGTGTCACACTATTATCACAACACTATCTCAAATGGTTTTTATGTGTTAAATAAAATTAATTAAAATTAAACTGGCATATACACAAACAGCACAGCATAGCACAGCACAGTGTGCACTTCAAATTGTATTAATTCTCAAGTAAAGAAGAAGAAGAATGTGCGCGTGAAAGGCCTCAAATTTTTCATGATAACGATAATGATGATGAGCATTGATCACTGTCATGTGGTTGTTGTTTTTGTTGTTGACGAGATCATCCCACTCCAACAGAGTATACAAGAGGCCGGGCTAACTGTATCATTGCCGGTATCAGCACCAGTAAATTATCAATCTTTCAGTTAGTTATCTGATTAAAATTAACCTTTTATTTATTGTGTATTTTGAATACAAACTTGATACTATGGCGTGTACTACTGATAAGATTTATCAGTAGTAGTATATTCAAGAGACCTTCATCGGCAGTAGAAAATTGGCATTCTGGCTATGTTTAAGTCAACCGAGTCATGTAATCAGACAAATGAAAAGACTGCATTATGGACAAGATTTTATTTCGATGAGTCACACAGCAGTGTTATACAGTAATATTAACTGATGACCACGTTTCGAGCATAGTTTATTACTACTGCTCATAATCATATCAAGTCACTCATTCACACAACTTTTTCCTTCATTTATATACATGTGTGGAATGGATTAGTTATGGGAATAAAAATCAACATGGGATAATGTACATTCAGAGTTAATAATATGAGTGTTATTGATCAAATACAATCAGATAGGAAATGAGACGAGTGTCTCTTTTAGTCATAATAAGTAACTTGTTAGACTGTTGTGATGTGCTTGAATTGAAATAGAATTCTGAGATTATTTATTATCCTTTTCGGATTTGACTGGCGGTAATAATATCTTCCATACACATTTCTGGTGTTTGCATTGAGTCATTTCTGTTGCATGTGTTGGGTGTAGATTATTCAATGAACCAGGATTTAGTAATCAATCTCTCTCTCTCCACCTACTGACATCGCTTCTTAGAATCTTAACCCTCTCCCACCGTATTGTATAGTTGTGTGTTAATGCATGCAGTGCAATCGCTGAGCTTCTTTCTAAATTACTTATCTTCATGGGGTCAACCATTCTTCCCTTAGCTAAATTCTTATGTTCCGACAATCTGATTACCCCCGATCTCCTAGTTTGACTGACCTATATATTTGACCTCACTCACAGTTATTGCAAGGTAATTTGTAAATTATATTATTTTGTTTAATTGGGTCAACCGACAGGGTCTTTTAGCCTACAGAGCTTGTCTGTGAGTGAGTTTGTAGGAGGGTTTGAATGCCACCACCCTAGTTCCTGCTTTATTAAGAATCCTACGTAGGATCTCAGATGTCCCCTTATTATATGGTATAACAGTAGATGACTTGTATTCTGTCTTATTTATGTTACGATTGTTAGTTTCTGCCTTATTTTTACTTTGATTTTGGCCTTTTCTGATTTTCCGAATGAATTTTATTGGATAGTTACTTAGTACCAACCAACTATTCCTCTATCTGTTTCATTTCATTATTTAGGTTGTTTGTTGTACCACTTAGTGTTGTTGTTGTTGTTGGTCGGTTTGTTAGACACCTGACAACTAAGCATGCCTTCACAGGCAGATAACGAATTAGGTGATGAATTAAAGTCTAAATATCTATTAGCAGATTGCATTGGCTTTTATATACACGTTAGTGTACTGTTTACCTTCTTCTATTCGTTTTATTGTACAATCTTAACATCATAGCTAATTTTCTTTGTTCATCTTCTGGTTCTGGTCATCAGTAAATATTACTGTATAGCAAACACTGTGAGACTTTATCAAAATAAATTTTAACTATAATGGAATTATACTTGTGTTACCATATCCTGATGGAAGTATTCTTAACTAAACGTAACGACTTAGGAATCGACTTGTTACCAGGGTATAGTCTTATGGACTTAGAATATGCAGATGACATAGTCCTGTTAGGGGAAGATGCTGACAAAATGCAGAGTCTTCTGAACACCTTGAGCAGCAATCTTCGTATGTTTGGCATGCGATTCGCCCCTGCAAAATGTAAGATGCTGCTACAGGACTTGACTACGTCAACTCCTAGCTTAGTGATAGGGAGTGAAGTGATAGAACATGTTGACCACTTCACCTATTTGGGAAGTTGTATTAGCACCAACGGACTGATTGGCGACGAAATCTCAGCAAGGATCCAAAAAGCTCGAGCTGCTTTCACTGACTTACACCACCTCTGGCGTAGGCGTGACATCCGGTTATCAACCAAGGGACGTGTGTACTGCTCATCAGTTCGCTCCGTCCTTCTCTATGGCTCTGAAACATGGCCAATACGCGTTGAAGACATGAAAAGGTTGACTGCTTTCGATCATAGATGTCTGCGATCTCTGTCTCACGTTAGGTGGTTTAATAAGCTAAGTAATGTTGACGTTAGGCGTAGAGTGTTGGACAAAGAGGGAAAATCAATCGACGAGGCTATAAAGTTACATAGATTAAGATGGCTAGGTCACGTGCTGGGCATGCCTAACCATCGCCTCCCCCGACGGGCATTACTAGCTGATATAGGTGCAGGTTGGAAAAGAGCCAGTGGTGGCCAAACAAAAACATGGCATCAATCCATGAAATCCTTGACAGTTAAACTGAGTCAGGTAGGGAGATGCAGACTCCCAGGTTGGGGCCCTCGGGACTGACTCTAAGAATCAATGGCTGTAGACAATAGGTGACATGGCTCAAAATCGTTGTCAATGGCGCAGATGTATTCAGTCTCTGTAATCTTTCATATTCCTTTCTACTATTATTATCCATTCTGTTTCACTCTTATACTTGTCAAACTCTATTGATTCTCTTCACTCATCTTCTTGTCTACTTTTTTGTGCTATTTGGAACGTGGCAACTCGAACTGCTGCACTTGGGTGCCAAGTTCTATGTTGAATCCAGACAGACTTGTGTCACCGGCACACTGCAAAAGTTTTAATCTTACATACTGGCCATTCTTTTTTTCCTAATCTCCACGTAATTATTTCATTCTTCTGAATATTTGTTTCCGTCTATTCCAATTTCTTTTCTAAAGTGTGGCAACTTGAGCTGATAAAATGCACACTTCTGTGCTTAGTTGCACAATTAGTAATTCAGGCCGGTTCAATCGAATTCTTGTACATTTGCTAATTTTCGAATTGTGTTGCTACTCTTTATCAGATGAAGTTGGTTATATGTATATATACCAGTTTCATGAGATGTCATCTGTTCATATTTTAGGTTGATCTACTTGTCCCAGGTGTTGGTGAATTAGTCGGTGGTTCAATGCGTATGGACAATATTGATGAATTAATGAATGGTTATAAATCAGAGCAGATTGATCCAACTCCATATTATTGGTATACTGATCAGGTAATTTTAATGTTTCAGCATGTGTGTATATATGTAATATTTGTTGAACGTCAGTGGTGATCGCATGGTTGAATGCTGGCTAACCACTCGGGAGATCAGGGTTCGTCTCTCGGATTATGTATTCTGAACTTTGCTTGGCTGTGGTGGTAAGTTTGGAAAAGAGTTGATTGTATCACTTCATGGGGTGAAGAGTGTTGGAACCAAGTCGAATTTTGTCTCAGTACGACATTCCTATCCAGACTTATTAGGATTCCGTTTAATATGAAGTGCTTCTGATATAGGACGTTCTGTGTGACTTATGCAATTTTTCTGGGTGGTTTCGGTATTGTCATAATCAATTTTGTGGCATGATTCTCTATAGCTGATGATTTTGCAAGCTTTTGTAGTTCGGTGGTCAAATAGGTAAATTTAAAGGAAAAGGCTGTTCAGACAACTCGACTAGATGCTCAGTTGTTTCATTTCCTATGGCCTCACTTCCACCTCGTCCTAACCGAGCAGGAGTGTGTTCTCACATCTTCTTGGAAAAAACTCACATCGAACGATTGATGTACTTAGCTACGCAAGAACAGGTGACTTGATGAACGCACATAGAGTTGTTCAGCTGTGGGATCTTGTTCCTTAGGTTACTGAACAGTAAATAGTAGACTAGGAAACGCTATTCTCAACTATCAGGCAATGAATATCCTTTTCAAGGACTATGACATTCTTTGGTTTTTTAGGGATGTAGGCACTTAAGTTACCTTTAGATTTAAGTTTCACAGATACAGTGTTTTCTCTGACGTTACACACGTTAAATCAATACTTCATAGATTTGGAATGTATTTTGCTTGTCTATAAAACATGGTGATAATTTATTTTCCAATATGATTTTCCTCAAGTGATTTAACTCTTCCTCCATAGCATCCGGACTACTACGTATATGCCAGATGCGAGTGACAAGTGGTCGAATCAGGTTTCGTTTGCGGCCGATTGATTTTCTATGACACCTTTCTATAAATCGATCTTCCTGAGAGTTGCATCAGTCCCTCCTTGATTGTATAGCTCGAGAATAAATTCTTCGGAAAGAGACTTCTCTAAATCACTTGTTTTGATATATATATATATATATATATATATGAATTGATTCGCCTGTCTGACCTGGATCACTCTGGATATACCACTGATGAGCTGGGTGTCAGAGGAGCGAGACGACCGTTTATTGTTCAGGTTACGTCGGTCTGGCTAGCAAGGGCTAATGGTCGACGTGAGCGACTTCCAGCTCTCCAGTTCAGTCAATCATTAGGGTATAACGATGAACTGATTAAAAATGCCCATTCAAATTTTTCAAAAGAATAGATGCTGAACAAAGAATACTCTTTTTGATAACGCCTTCGTCATCAGGCTCTACAGTTATATATATACATTACAAGGAATGAATGAGTTAGTGTTATGAACAACATTGATATGGTTTAAATAACATCGAATCAATAACAATATGAATAGATTACAGCTCAATAGCATCAACATAAAATAAACTGAATGTCAGAAAAATTCGGAGAGATAATATTACAAATTTATGAATTTATAGGCTCTACTGAAGGCCAGTCAAGGCAGTAGTAGGGGCTAGCCATAAGAGGGGAGATGTTCTCGAGCACAACACATCAGTTGTATAATCTGGATAACTGACATTTCGGATCCCGTTGTAATACATGTTTATCTAATCATTTTTGTTATCATCATCTCTTTTTTATTTCTTTTTTTACTTTTGCTGTTTAGCGCAAATTTGGAACTTGTCCACATGGTGGTTATGGGCTGGGCTTTGAACGATTTTGTACATGGCTTTTAGGCAAAGATCATATACGTGATGTTTGTCTCTACCCTCGTTTCACCAGTCGATGTCGCCCGTAACTCTTACTCCCTGTGTGCGTGCGTGTGCATGAATGCTTATTGACCTTTGTTTGTTTTTTTTCTTTTCTTCCCCGCTTATTGGCACCTTTCTCTTCTATGTATGTATCTAGATTTTTTTATTTATATATTCTTTCTGGTTTTGATCATCACTATATATTTCTGTGAAATGTCTTGGATGTTTTATTGAAAAGAGAAAATGTGTGATCTTTTGCTCTGCGGAAGTTGATATGTGGTCTATAAGAATGCTTTGAAATGAGTTTCTGAAGCCTTTCTCTTGCAGTCTTTGTCTTCGTTCACACAATGGATAAATAATAATGAATAAATATATTCTTGGACAATGAACGACTGTTTTCTTTTCTTTTTTTCTGTATTCACGATTATCTATGATTTAAAACATTTTGTTTCCTTTATGAATTTAGACAAAGCAATAAGAGGACTTAATTTGTCTGAATCGTGTATTGTATGTATTTACGCAACACATTTCAAACAATCTGATCACACTCCACGGACGTGTCATAGGAATTTATGTATATAAAATTAATAAAGAGTGAGAAAGAGATGTGAAAATAGACAACTTGGGTCAAGTTAAAAGGACATATTGAATGTCAAAATAACAATGAAGACCACTAAACCAAATAACAGAGGTAATAAATAGTACCTACATCTGATATGGTATCATAACAAAGTTTACCAAAAAAGGTTTAGTGTCTCTCTGTCTGTTTTCGACATAGAACTTTGCATCGATGTGCGGCAGTTGAAGTCGCCACACTCCCTCCATGTAGCACACAAAGTAAGAGAAGAAAGTAGAAGAAATGGATATTAGAGACAGTAAACAGAGGTGTGAGACAAAAGGAATAGTAATAGCGAAGAACAGTATAGTTTCATTGGGAATCATAAGTCACAAGGAGTGAATGCATCTGCGCCATTGAGAACGATTTTGAGCAATGCCACCAATTGTTTCCAGCCATTGGTTTTTACCGTCCCGAGGACCCCAACCAGTCAGGAAGTCTACACCTTCCTACGTGGCTTAGACTAACTGTTGTAGATTTCAGTGACTGGTCAGGCCATGTTTTGGTTTGACCACCATTAGCTAGCTCTTTTCCAGCCTGACTCTATATCAGCTAACATAGCCCGCCGGTCGTGGAAGGCGATGGCTAGGCATACGTAACACAAGTCCTAACCATCTCAGTCGATGTAACTTGACAGCCTCGTCTATTGATTTCCCCTCCAACCTACCTAGCACTCGACCGATGCCTAACCTCAATATTGCTCACCTTATTATACCACTTCACACGGGAAATAGAACGCAGGCACCTATGATCTAAGACAGCTAATCTTTTCATGTCTTCCACTTTCAGTGGACAGGTCTCATAGCCAGCCATAAAGGAGGACGGAGCGGACTGATGAGCAGTACACCTGCCCTTTGGTCGATAGTCGAACATCTCGTCTACGCCAGAGTCGGCGTAAACTGGCAAATGCGAAACGAGCCCCCTGTATTCGTGCTGTGATTTCGTCAGAGATCAACCCGTTGGCGTTGGCTGATGGTACTTCCCAAATAAGTGAAGCGGTCAACGTGCTCTACCACTTCACTCTCTATTTTCAAACTAGGAGTCGCTGTAGTCCAGCCCTGTAACATCATCTTGCATTTGGCGGGAGCGAATCGCATGCCAAACATTCGTAGATTGCAGCTCAAGGTGTTCAGAAGACTGTTTTATTTTGTCAGCATCTTCACCTAGGAGCAAGATTATATCATCTGCATATTCTATGTCAACTAGATTATTCCCTGGTGGTGACAAGTCAATCCCTGAGTCTCTGTAGTGAGTTAGGGTTAAGTCCATTAGTACATCTATGATAAAATTGAATAGAAATGGGGATAATGGACACTAAGGTTTAGTGTGCTGATGAATTGTTTTTGATGAACGCATAAATGTGGTTTAAACGTCCTAATTGTTAGCTAGGGCTTCCACAAACTTTAGGATACGCCCTCCCGCTAAACACATTTTATAGATAGATAGCTGTGCGACGGTGGCATAGCGGTTAGGACGCTCACCGACCATGCACATGGTCTGGGGTTCGATCCCCAGCCGACTCACTCCCTTACATCGCCAACCCGGAAGTAATGCTGGTAAAAAGGAAAGGTTGAGCATGAGGCTAGCCACCCCATCCTGTAAAAATAAACACTGCTACAGAAACTTCAAGCCACTAGCTTGAAGCCTCATGTTCCACTGGGGAACGTGAAGGAAAGAAAAAAAATAGAGGGATTAATAAGAAGAAACTCGGCGTATGTTTATCTATCTTGGCCTTCTGTGAGATCATCAGAGACAATAATCATTCATATTTTCAGATCATATTCTGCTGCTCTTATTTCTGTTCACTTAGTTTACTTCACCCTATGATTATCTTTATTGTTTGGTTAACCTTTGATATTTACACCCCAGCTCATTTTGTGTCTCTAGTATTCGATTACAGTTCACGATTGATCCTCTTTATTTTATCACTACCACACTTGATATCTGTCAGGCCTTGTTTGAACTTACATTCAGTACTCCCATGTATTGGTCTTTGTTTGTAATCATGTTTCTCTCACACCAAGCTGCATCTCTACCACCCCTAATGAAACTTACATTTTGTTGACTTAGAACAATTAGTTCCCTTTATGAATCTAGACAAAGCAATAAGAAGGATGACGTAATTTGTCTGAATCGTGTGCAATGTGTATTTGCGCGCACAACACATTTCGAACAATCGGATCACACACACACACACACGGACTTGTCATGCGACTGTCATACATATGAAATTAATATAGAGTGAGAAAATAGACTGCTCAGGTCAAGTTAAAAAAAAACAACTAAATCACTTCAATTCGGGGAAAAAGCAAGAATGACAAATGTGTACCAGGATTATCTGGCGCTCATGTTTCTCTATTCTTGTTGTTTCGTGGACTTTTTCTCCACTGCTGTTGTTACAGCCTGAACAATACCTAAATAAAGAAAAAAAATTGAACTGAAGATCTGAACACACACCTTTTCACAGTGATACGGAGCAATTGTTTGGAACTGAGAGTAACACTGGTCAGGAATGATACAGTAAGTTGTCGAATAGTTATAAGT